CAATTTTACAAATGTAAAGTAGGAAATAGTTGTATAAATGTGATTTTTAAAAAGTAGTATTTAAGTAGTTGCGAACCATAAAAGCTTGTGTTACAACACATTTGCTAGGTTTTAGAGTGCCACTTAGTTGGAAATGCCCTTTAAAAATGTGAGATTATTACTTTACTTTTTAAAATCACATTTATACAACTATTTCCTACTTTACATTTGTAAAATTGTAAAATCTCACATTTTTAAAGGGCATTTCTATTAGGTTACTTGGCATCGCTTCAAAATTGTGCCTGCAATTGGCACTAATTGGCAGCTGAGATTATAACCCCCCCCCCCACATCTTATCTGCAGATAATTAATTAATACAATAACAGAATGACAGAGTTGGAGGTCTTTTGGAGATCTCCCAAGTTGGAAGGGACCCTGGAGGTCTTCTAGTCCAACCCCCTGCTCAAGCAGGAAACCCCATTCCGTTTCAGACGAAGCACAATCTCTTCTTGAAAACCTCCAGTGATGGAGCATCTACAACCTCTGGAGGCAAGCAGTTCCACTGATTAATTAATAGGATAACAGAATGACAGACTTGGAAGGGACCTTGGAGGTCTTCTAGTCCAACCCCCTGCCCAAGAAGGGGACCTTATACCTGTGATGGCGAACCTAGGGCACACGTGCCAAAGATGGCATGCAGAGTCCTCTCTGTGGGCACTTCTGCTGTCGCCAGCTGCTCTTCCGGGTTGCGTCACGCATGTGTTGATGCGTTGATCTGCTGGCTGCCATCTATGCGCACCCCGGAACCCTGACTGCAGCCGCTGGGTGGTGCGTGCGCGCGCAACAAAACCCAGAAGAGCTGGCCACTGCGCACATGTGCCCTGGCCAACTGCTCTCTTTCTAGTTCTGGTGCTCCAGCATACATGTGCTCATTTTGGCACTCGGTGCCGAAAAGATTAACCATCACTGCCTTCGACTATTCTGGGCAAGTGGGTGCCCAGCCTCTTCTTGAAAACCTCTAGTGTTCCATTGATTAATTGTTTTACTGATAGGAAATTGGCTGCTTCTCTCCTTGTTTAGTTTCCATCCGTTGCTCCTGGAGTTTTGGGGAACCTATCGACTCTTTCCACACACTGGAACCCTTGCTGTCATGTCACCCCTAGTCCGTCTCTTTATTTAGTTTGGACACACTTATTTCTCTAGGTACGTTATGTTATACCTAGCACAGGTAAGCAGTTTTTTTTAAATAGGAAAAGCGTTCCCTTGCATAACTCTCTTCGCAACGCCAAAAAAGTTCCATTGCAAATACGATGAATTCAAATTATCTGGCTGGTGTTTTTTCCACATCTGGGTGATTTGAAAAGAAGGGGCTTGCTGTTGGTTGTCCCCCCCAACCCTTGGCGAAAAGATGCACCAGAATGAGGGCCCGGATTGGAAGGAGTGCAGTTTGACCCGAATTCCGGTATCTTTTAAGTCTCATGGAAGGGATGTTTACGTGTCTGTCTGAAAAAAAAACACGGACTCTGCACCTTCAGAGAAAATGATGTGGGGAGGAGGAAGAGGAGGAAGAGGAGAAAGAGGAGGAAGAGGAAGAGGACTGTGGGGTCCTTGGTGCTCTCTGAGCTTGGTGGTTTTCTTGCAGACGTTTCATGACCCAACTAGGTAGCATCATCAGTGTTAGAAGAGAGTGGGGTTTGTAGAGAGGAGGAGGAGTATGAGAAGGAAGAGAAAGAGGACTGTGGGGTCCTTGGTGCTCTCTGAACTTGGTGGTTTTCTTGCAGACGTTTCATGACCCAACTAGGGAACAGCATCAGTGCTAGAAGGGAGTGGGGTTGTGGAATGGAGCTGATGGAGATG